AATGTTTTCTGAAAGTGACTTTTGTGCATCCTGTTTCCTCAGTGACCCTTAAAAGTAACTCCCTCCCTTCTCATCCTCTGCACTTGAGGCAATAAGGTCTGAAACATTGATCTATTTGCTGCTAGCTTTCATTAATTTCATCCAACCCTGAAGGCGGAGCCATATTGGTGCCAGCTAATTAAGACCTATTTAGGGTAGTTCAAGGCCCTTTATCAGCTCTGAATTAGCTTTCCACTTTTAATGGGTATTGTAGCTTTCTCAATTATTACTTAATTAAATAATGTGCCTGCATTTGCCAAAATTTTTCTGAAGTGGGATGCAAGCTACAGTTGCCCGCCTGCTGACAGGTAAGCAGAATATCTTATGTGGGCTCTCTGTTGCTTCTCTAGGAGAGCTAACCTTGGTCTGCGTCAGCACATGGCCAGGCACATAAATCACATTCTTCAATTGTTGAGTATGGTGCTATGTGCTGCTGTCCACCCCATTAGCACCTCGAGAGTATTTCAATCTTCAAATGTCTTGATGCAAATGTGTAAATGTCAGCAGGCTAATATTTGTCTGCCAATCATGTGAAGGGGAAAAAGAGATCCATTTGGTCCAGATTATTTTGAATATAAATCCTTTAAGTCCAAAGTTTTCTGGTTTGTTGAAAGTTGTTTCCCGGAAAAATATTTGGTGAGTGAAACTATAAAGGCAACCACCATACAAGGAAATGGAATTTCAAAGAAAACGGGGCCCGGAAGATGGAGAGAGAGGGCGAGCAGCCTTCTCCTGGTCTCCCAGCACCTCTCACAAGGTCAGCCATTCTAATTGACTAGCCAAATAATTTTAGTCAGTAACTGATAAGAAAGCAAATTAAATTTCATATGGGTGTAAAAACTATTCCAATATGCCTATGAATTGGTCTAAGCGCATTCTAAATAAATTTAACAGTATACATATTTCTTTTGCTACTTCCTGTTTCCACATAAGGAGCCCCTTCAGACAAAAATAAAAACCACTGGAAAAAGAAAAAGATGCCTACCACCACCTTAAAAAGGGGAGGGGCTTATATTTTTTTAAAGGATTTTGACAAAGCGGAGAAGAAAATTTGCCTTCGAGGAGCTCCATTTAATTATTTTCCTATCAATAATCATTTTAACTACTAGGGACACACTTTTTCAAATTCTATAAATTAGATATCATAATGGTGAAATAGCTTCTCCATTAAAAACTTGATGATACAAACGAGCACTTCCAGTAAGTGCAGGCAAATCAACCAAAATAGCTTTACAAAAAAAGTCAAATAAAATGATATATACCATGGAACTTTCTCCTATTTACTTAGGAAAAAAGGACTGAAAACTTTTGTTAGGATATAACCAACACACATTTTGTCAGCATGGGCCTATATGAATACTTGCCATTAAGACATCTTCTTTAATGTAAAATAACCTAAATTTTTGGGAAGTAAAAATAATCTTAAAAAAAAGTAAAATACTGTAAACTGCTTATAGTAATCATATTTCTAGTTGTGCTGTCATTCTTATCCTAAAATTGTTGTACGTATGTTGTGGGGTAAAGCAGATAAGCAATTTCATTGGTATCTCTAGGACCTGTGGCTATTGGCATGGCAGAAAGAAGAAACAGATGTAAGGTAGATGACATAAAATAATAATCAGTAGCCCTGAATTTGAAATGGTAGTTTCCATTTGAACTCACAATAATTTTACCTTTAAGCAATATATACAGTATATACTGTTTACAGACTAGCTCTGTCCAGTAAAAAGACCAAGAAACAAAAACCAATACAGTAGCAATTAGCAGCTATAACACCAAAATTAGGCTCTCTTAAATACTAAGAAGACAAAGTTCTTTCAAGAAGCATCTGAATCCAGGTTTGCATCAGGATATACACAAGAGTCTGAAGTATTCTGTATTAGCAGGAGACGAAGAAGCTATTCAAGACTACCAAAGATATACCTAAAGGACTTAAGGGCCAATTGGAGGAGGTTTCCACAGTCCAAAATAGGACAATTTGAGCATAAGAACATAATTTTAATGAAATTAAATATTTGAAATATGTTCAAGTATGTAAGTCAATATATAAGTATTGAAAACAATAAACTTACTACTCACTTTTGGAAAGTACTAGGGATCCATTTCTTAAAATTGATAAAGAGAAAAATTGGTATTATCCTCTATCTCATGGTAACCAAATGATGAAAGAGGGCAAATTTCTCTTTATAAAGTGTATCAGCTAATAAATAAAAAAAGAAATGATGAAATATCACCATTTTGTAACTCCTAATGAATTCCTGGATCTAGATAATGATCATTAATGACTGTTAACATAAAAAGAGAGAAAGCTAGATAGTATTCCTACTGACAGAAGTACCATGTAATGGTCTGGATTTAAAAAAGAACAAAATACTAGACCTGACTCCACTAAAGCCTCAGTATATAAATACTAAGGTAGAAGAAATACCATGGGATGCAATCAGCAAAACCTAGATTGTGGATATTTCTATAAGACAAATGACTAGGTTTTTTTCAACAATGGGGGTGGGGAGGAAGAAGAAGCTATAAGTTAAAAGAAATACAGGAAACATATCAATTAATTGTAATATGCAGACCTTACTCTATTCCTGATTTGAAAATGTATGGGCTTTGATCCTAATCCTAATTCAATTAACTCTTAAAAATATTGATGAGATGAAAAACAGACTAAACATATAACATATAAGGAAGTATTGCTTATTTTTGTGTAGGACAAGGGCATTGTGTTTATGTTTAAGAATCTTTATCTTTTAGACATATATGCTGAAATATTTATAAGTGAAATATGGTGTCTCGCATTTGCTTCAGAATAATCCTTGGGGAGGGAGGAGGTGTACAGGGGTATAGATGGAAGAAGATTGGCTATGAGTTAATAATTATTCAATCTGAATATGGATGTACAGAGGTCCCCTACACCATTAGTCTCTTTACTTTGTAAAGTTGACATTTTCCTTCATAAAAAAGTTAAAAAATACTCTTGTTTGAAATTTGGCAACAAACATCCGGCCACTATGGGAAATCCTTAGACAATAAAATCTGCACAGTTCAAGTTAGGATGTTGATTTAAATCCAAATGGAGATAGCAGCCTTTGAGGTCATTTTGTCAGCCACCCAGATTTTATCAAAACCATCCCCTCTTCTCATTTCTGAAACACTAGCATAGCTGTTTTCTTTGGTCTGGTTGCAGTACTCAGTGAAGAGCCAAACAGGAATAGAAAACAGCAGGAAAGCATCATAAAATCATTTTGGCTTTTTATCCCTACTTTTATTTTGGTAACTCTGCCAAATGAATGATAACCTGCAAATTAATTTTACCAAGTGAACTTTTTGCCACCATACAGTTTTCCTCATCACCAGCAGGAAAACTAATCTCCCAAAGCTATGCTCTCCCACCTCTTGGACAGTCCCCATATCTGAGATAGTGCTCTCTCACTGAAAGCTCACGGCAAAGGCCAACACGATACGAACCCATAGGAACATAAGACACAGTGAGCTCTTCCCCAATACCCCAACGTGATTCTGGGCATACAGTTATGGCTGGGGATATCCCAAAGGCTAACTATGACTAATGAAAAACCAAATGTATCTAATTAATTGCATTGCTCTGGGCTAAAGAGAGACCAGAAATTTCCAAAGCCCCTTGAAATTGGTCATATTTAAATAGAATTATGCCCATGTGAGATTTTTTCTTTGAAGCACGCACCTGCTCCTTCTATCTCTACTGCCTATATCTTTGGAAAGCTTATGCCTCACTGATTCAAATCTAACCCTTGAGATTCTTCCTGCTAACTCTAGCAGTGGGAAGGGCCAGTATTATGGCTATTCCTGTTTTGTATTTCATTATGCAGCTGTGCATTTTTGGCATTCATAAGTAGAAAATGCTAAATTCAGCCTACATTATCAAAAGGAGACTTGGTCCAGATAAAGTTTTAATGTAATTACTAGCATTCAAATGATACCCAGTTATATAAGAAACTTTCCCCCTACAAACACACATCCCAATAGAGTTAAAAGTTTAGATTTGATAATATTGCAAAGTGAAAAATAAACATTCTGAGGAAATCGGGATGTTCATTTCTAATATTGAACTTATTGCTGATGCTCAGTTGAGCCAATGGTATTACACTAATAAGCAAAATTCACAGATTGGTTTCAATATTTTCCTTCAGCAATTTTCAAACTTCAGCAATTGGTTTCAATATTTTCCTTCAGCAGTTCTTTATTAGAACTAGAAATATGAAGTAAAAGGGACCGATTTATAACTCCAACTTCTCTGCCATATACTGGCTACCTTTCTGAAGAGAAATAAAAAATCACAGGCAATAAAGTTATATGGGAGATAAGGGATGAATGAACAGAGAGAGGAAGCAGGAGAAGTAAGGAATAGGAGAATGAGGTGAGCAACCCTCAAAAAAACGAAAGTGGGAAGGGTGGTTTATAGAATGCTACAGAAAAAAGCATACAATGAAAAAATGCAGAATTGATTTTTGGATAATTGAGTATTCATATCTCATTTCTCTTCAAGAGTCCACTATTAATGATTTTGAGTAATGCATAATATCAATATGGTATTCTGCTTACCATGTTAAATACCAGGTTATGGCATACACGATCAAAGGGCGTATCTGCATTCTGTTTTGAAACAGAAATGTGTAGATTTCCTCTTTGGGCTAAAATCTGATTTAACCAATAGCATACTGAGCTAAATCAGGACAGATCTAAACATATCTTGGGGAAGCATCCAGTGTTTTTTGGAGCCTCAAGCCAATCAAAATGGAGAGAACAGAAGGTAGTGTAGGTGGAATTAATGGGGCCTTGCTGCTGGCTCACCAAGTAATCATAATAGTCAAAAACATATATCAATCAGTTTGAAAAATAACTCTGTTCATTTGAGAGCTGGCAAAAGGATGCAGCAAAGATTTAGCATAAAATTCAATAAGACTGCTTCTCAGAAGACTCACCTGTCTTTCCCCGTTTCCTTCTTAAAAACTCCATCACAGTAACTCATGCGCTTCTCTGTGGTCACATAAATTTGGGCATTTGGATAGATGTCAACAGTCTTTTTCAACATGTTGTAAACGATGCCATTGCCATCTTTCCTCATATTGCGGAAAGGGCCCCAAATAACATAAGTAGTAGTGTTTGATTCCTTGAAAAAATAATCAGGGTTTTTTAGCAAAAGAGGAACGCTGGTATGGGACACAACTCGGATCATTGTCGTGCGGCCAACATCTTCTTCATAGCCCTTGGTGGGGGCATTGTTCATTCTCCAAATGCAGGAGGACTGATCTATCTCAGTCCCCACCTTCTGGCCAACCATCTGACCTGAGTTTGACACTATAGCACAAAGGTCACAGTCCAATTGCAAAGGCTGAAAAACAGAAAGGGAAACAAGGCAGGGGAGAGAGACACGTGAGTCAGTAAGCTCCACCTGTCTGGACAAGTCCTTCTGGGAAAACAGAAAATTCAGGTATGACATATAGCTGCTGAGTGTGGGAATATCTCTGAAATATATATACCAATCCTATAGTAGCTACCACAGGTTATCAAGCTAAGGACATGCTTCCCATTTAAAAAGTGAATAGAGATTGTTAAGACATTATTTTAATTCATATCCCTTTGTGTTGGCTTAAAACGTAAATGGAAAAACAGTCATCTGTTTTCTACTCTAAATGATGATTTTTCATTCAAAACCATAATTTCAAATGAAATAAGGAAATATGGATTTGATATTTTTAATAAGGATGATGCCTAATAAAAGAAATGCAGAAGGAATATATGCACACATCAATTCTGTATTTTACATACATGCATGAATGTTTATATTAGCAGTTGATGAAAATATGAAAACTTCAGCAAATGATAAGGTTCTTTTTCAGAACCAAGCACTACTTAAGACAAGTCTCAGGCTAGCAAAAGTACTACAGAAACCCTTAAAAAATTCCCCTGTGTCACCATGTTGACTGGCCTTTATGTTACTGTTTATTCTAGATGGATAAAGAAGGGATGTACAGAGATGATAGCCTTTGGTGCTGGTCTAACCGCTCCCCTTTTCTTAACCAGTGAGGTAATAGAGACTCATTGAGATTTAAACATCAGATTTCAGACTTGCAGATGATAGATTCAAGCTGCAGTGGTAAATTCAAATATAGATCTTCTAACTCTAAACCCATTGTTCTTTCCATTATTCCCTGTATTCTTTCCTCCTGAGCAAAGCAAATAAATTCCATTTGCCACCTCCCTTCTACATGAAGAAATGTCATGCTGTCTTTTCAAACAGTGGTAAAGCAGCAGTGTGTTTGCTGGCATACATCTTCCTCATCTCCCTTCTGTGAGATTCCACATTTTGTATCTGACACTAGATC